CACTCTTTCTTCAGAGGGTATTGCTACTGCTAGTCTGAACCACAACATATTTTAAAGAACTCCATTTCCAATATTCTTTTTTAAACTCTGCTTAAAAAGTGGTAAGAAATGTAATTAAGAATCTTTATAAAAAGAAATATACAGGGTATATGCACTGCAAACACAAAAATGGAGACACTGCAGAATCTCCATACACACTCTCAGACTTAAAGATTTCTGTAAAAGCCCCAGGCATGCTTCAGTGTTCCTGAGTTTAAATAAGATATCTAAAAATATCCAATCACCATGTATTAATGAATTCCTATACTCAGTTTTTGTCAGGGAGCCAATTCAAAAGATTGATTATCTCTAGTCCCAGATAGCATATCATTAAAATTCTTGACACATTTCCTAAAACTTGGAATATGAAGCATCAAAAAATCTCAAAGCATTATAATGTCTTAATTACTAAATACTATTTTCATTTTAAGTTGCTATATCTGGTCATATCCAAAGTAAATATTTTCTTAGTTTTTAATCTTAAAATTACACTAGAGAACTAACAAAGCACAAAAAAAAAAAAAAATATACCTTGTATTCAAGCCACAGGCCACCTATAAATAAAACAAGAATTTGTAAGATACGAATGAGTTTTTCTCCAACTCTTAAAAGAAGATTATTGCTTTATCAAAATACTTCAGAGACTGAACTCCCTGTCTTCATTTCACAGAACTATAGGAAATAAACCTGTTAACATTCAAAAAGAAAGAAAAAAAAAAAGAGAGCATCCAAATGTAAAAAAAAAAAAGTATGTCTGGGACGATTGATCTTATAATATTTTGTGTTAAAGGCAAAAAGAACTCCTTCAGAGCCAAAGGAAGGCATTCAAATCATGCATCATGACCCATATGGTTATCTAATCCATTTCAGATGTTCAGATATTTGTAAACATTCAAATGAAAGACACTTTTTTATTTCTTGGTGAGGGAAGCCTCTGCTACCTGCTCTCAAGATGCTATTGCACTGAGATTAAGAAAAGCTGTCTTTTAGTTTTAAATTAGCCACATAACGGCAATATGAAGCGCACTGCACTGTAGTCAAGTGACACTTCCCAAAGAACGGGTAACGAGAAGCAAAAAACTGACTGGATTATAGACTAGCTGCTATCATATAAAAACCTGGTGATCTCACTGTACTGAGTCTTAAAACAACAACAACAAAAACCTACCTCACTGAAATGAGCTGTGTACTGTTATGGGGGGCAGGCGGGAGGGTGCTAAATTTAAAGCATACTAATCACTGGCATCAGAATATTTCTTCCAAAAATGGGAGTCACTTTCACATTGGGTAAAAATGAAATTTTCCTTAACGAGTTGTTACCAGAAACTTAGTCAAACTAAGTACTTTCTTAGCTTTTCATTTATCTGAAGGCAGCAAAAAGACTCATTGCAGAAAACAGCAATATGTTGTGGTTTCTTAGGAAAGCATAAACCTTGAAGTTAAAGAAAACACAAAATTCAGTAGTTATTTAAGTACTTTGCTCCAAATCCACCATCTGCCTGAATTCCATACAACTGCAGACGCAGTGTTTGACATAAACGAGATGAAAAGGTCTACACTAGCTTAGGTAACACTGAAGATTAAGCTTGTGTCTTGAGTTCCTCTAGCATTTATCTCTAAATCAAACAGTGTTTTTCTCTGCAGTTCCCTTAAACACTATGAGGAAGACTTTCAGGGTCTTGTATACAGAAGTGTATATACTACGTAGTACAGTGTATATCAGAAGTGCCTAAGCTAGCTTTGAATAGGCTGATTTATCTCTATTGCACACCTCAGTGCAAAGTTTACAGCAGGTTTTAAAATTGGCATAATCACCTTAGCTAAGGTATCCCAACTCAGTACTCCACTGTGCAGCACAGACAAGTTATCAGTTCTGTAATGTCTTACAAGTTTAAAAATGCAATAGAAGTGCTTAATACACAAAGCATTTGAAAGTAAGTATGAAAAAGCAAATAAATGGGAGACAATTTTGAAGGTAGTACTAGTAAATAACTCCTTACCCAGCACCAAGGCAGATTACTTTCACAGCTGGTAGCATAATATAGCAAGTGTTACAGCCGCAGCCTATACAGTCAATATTAATTTCATTAGTTTTCAGTGAAGATAATAAGTGTCTACTGAATTCACTAAATATCACTGATAAGCTGCAAAGAAAGCTTTTCAAACTTTTCTAAAATGAAAAGCACTGTTATAAAAAAAAGTATGAAGTGTTAAATAATTTTAGTCTGTATTTTTCATTTGTTGAATTTGTTGTTTTTCCTGATCCAGTAATTATCATAATCTACAATATAGCAGGCTCTATATGACATTTGAGGTTCATTATACAACCGATATCAAATAATAACAAAAAGGCCATCACCTCCAGGAAACGCTGAGGATCGCACTCATGGACAAGCTTTTCACAATCCTTCAAAAAATTCTCAACAGTCTTCTTGTGAGTTTCCTTCATTTTCTTCCAAATCTGAAATTCTTTCTCTTTTTTACTTCTTTGATTTTCAACATCTTCTAACAATTGCCGTTTCTTCATTTCCAGAGTTTTGAAAATTTCTCCAAATTCCAGTGCAATTATCTCTGCATCGTTGTTCAGCACCATCTAGAAGCACAAGAATATAAAAACAGATGAAAATGCAGTAGCAATGTCTACATGGAGTCACTTCCCTAAGTAAGCTCAGAGCACATCTATGCCACACGAAGCACCGGTATGCTCCATGTTGTGATTAACCTATCATGAGAAAAAAACCAAAGACACATATAAATATATACAAATATAAATAT